AATAACGAAACCTGTCTCAATTTTCTTAGCTTTAGTTATAGTTGTGTCTAAATTATTTGAACTGGTGTCCTACTACCATTGTCATGATATGTGGGACTAAACCTCTGATAAATTTGCTAATGATATATTATTGTCTAAAGCCTCCTACAGGGTCAACTCGTTGAATTAACATTTTGTATTTTTGGGCATAATCAGCTACACTTTGTCCTAGCTGTTGACAAATTAACTCTAAATCGGTCATACATTTATTTTTTATGGTAGCATTAGCAAAATAATTCAGAAAATGATTGGTGAAGTTATATTGACTTTCTTGTACAGCCCAATTCTGAAAGGTAGGTTAATTTTCATCATACCATTTGGCAGCAGCATCTCTTAAGTATCTCGCAGCAATAGCTATTTTCCTATTGTTAGTCCATTGATTAGCTGTAGCTACTCGTTCAAAGAAAGCAAGCCATTCATAAGAGTCTTCATTATCTGTTCCATGAAAATAAGTGGGTTTAACTAAATTTAATTCTGCTCGATTTACTTGAGCTACATTTCCTGTTGGGTTAGGATTTATAGCTTGTAGTGTCAGAGTCATTTGTTGAAGTAACTGCGCTATCTAAAAGTTATTATAGCTAGCATTGATATTAGAAGTGTTGGTATTAAATGTAGGTTAGGTAGTAATGGGCTGAGTTGAAATGATTCTAAATCCTGTGTTTCTGTTTTGGCGGTATTAAAGGTGTTAGATGTATTAGATTCCCATTGATATGATTGATTGTTATTTTATGTTGTATTGCTCCCAGTTCCAAATCCAAAAGAAAGGTTAGAACTTCCAGTATTTGTACTTGACGAAGGATTCATACTTGAAGATTTATTAGATTGAAAGGGTTAAAGATATTTTAAGTTGCTTTGAATGTGACCTGCTTTGATTTTGTTGCTTTAGAAGTATTGATAAGATTTTCATCAGAAATAGAGGCAATGGTAGTTCCCAACTTTCTAATAGTCATTTGATTAAAGATATTTGAAGTATTTGGATTTGATTGATATTCTCTATGTCTGAAAGAGGGTGAAATATTATGGAAACCTGTGATCAAAGTATCAATTTCTGGACCTTTATCTATTGACTGAGGATAAATTATCTCAGTTGTAGTTTCTACTGTCTCGTTACCAATGTATCCAAAATTTGGACTATTGATTAGAAGATATTCAGAATTATCTTCTTCTACAATCCTATTTACTTCAGCCTTATTAAAGTTATAGGGGCTATTAAGATATACTTGACTGTTATCTGATTCAATATCTGAATTATTTAAAGTTACAGTTTCTTGAGAAGAAGTTTCGACAGTAGTAGACTAAGGTGATTGAGGTTGAAGTTGCTAATTTCAGATTCTGTATTTGTATTTGATGGTCTTCCAGGTGTTCTTTCCGTGCTTGTAGGGATATTTGAAGTATTTCTTCTTCTAATAAGTTGCACAGAAGAGGTATAAGATTTTCTGTTTCTAAATTGGTGTGTCTGTTGAGATTGAGAACTGCCTGATTTCTGACCAGTATTATCTTTCTTTGAAGAAGCCACATTTAATTCTTCTTGCAATAAATAATCATTGTAGATAATTGAAAACTATGTCTATGCAATAAATGGAGAAAGATTATTTGTAAAACAATCAGTATTTATAAATACTGAAATTAATTGAGTAATCGGGGGTAATTCAGTTGCAGTAGGATTATATCTGTAACTTCGAGTTAGAACACTAATCTGAGTAATAAGGGTCCTAAAAAGATCACGTTCGTTTGAGTATGAATTAAACTCAGGAACAGTTTGACTAATAATAATAAAAAGGTCAAGAATAATACCAGTATATCTATATGCTTTGAATTGAAGCTGATACCAATTCCACAAATTTTCAAAGTTTTCAGGTTCTGGAGTATAAAGAGAATAACAAGTTAAACAGGATAAATCTCTTTCAAGAAGTTCCTTTGGGTCAATCTCTGGTCTGTGACTAAAGTCGTATAGTTAGTTCTCTTGTCTAAACTCGTTTAAATCCACAATTCTTAGCTTTTCTCAAAAGTTTTATAATCCTGGCAGGAATCACCAAATTGTCACCAGGTTCATTTTCTTTTATCTTAACATCTAAGTTAAAAGACTGCAGCAGCTAATTTTACACGTTGGAATTTCTGACCTTAGGATTTTTTCTAAGTCCTACAGATATCTATTATACTTAAATCAACTTGGCAATTTATCTTGTTTTAGAATTTAAGATATGTTAATCAAACTCGTAATGATGAACTCAATAGCAAGTTAGTATAGCGTATCATAACAATCCTAGATGAGAAATAACGTTAAAGAAAAAAGTAGTTTGTGTAAATTTAAATGAATTCCTTTATTTATAACTTGAAACTCGCAAAAGAGTTTATAAACTTACAACTGAGTTAATTTACAACTTAAGCAAAAAGCTATTCTATTTATACAAAATGAATTTGCTATGGCTAATTACTTGCTATGCTATAAATTAACTAAATATAGATATATGTTCTAATAAAAATATACTTAAATATAATAAAATAATAAAAATAAATAAAATAAATTACAGATGTTAAAGAAATTACAGACGAAACAGAATAAACAGACTGTGTAGAAAATACAGAAGAAACAGGCAAATCAGGTGAATTTTGCAAATCCTTTAAATTAAATAAATTAGCCTGATTTTCCAATACAATATGTCGATCAAGATCTTCTTTAATATAATTTACATAAAATTAAATCTAATGACTTTGTAAATCATTTTTCTAGGGCAAATTTTCAACGCTAACAATATATATAAATGATATATCAGTTTACTAAATAAAACTGGCAAAATTTCTATCAGTTACTCTTCCGACTATCTAAGAAACTTAGTTTCAAATCAACGCTATCATATTAAAAAAATTCTGCAACATAATCATTTTATTACGACAGGCAAACTTAAGGTAAAATTGAAAGAAAAAGATCTTAATATTAATATTAGTGAACATATAATATATCATGAGCTCAACAATCTTAGATATATTTTTGTACTTCTAAGAAAGATTTCTCTTTTGATCCAAAAAGTGAAGGAATTTTATATGTCTTATGCATGTAATCATTTGTATTACAACTGAAAAAAGTTATTTTTCTAATGAAATAACACTTCAGATGTTTAGAAATACCATATGTATATAGTCTCACAATGCATAACCAATTGTCTCTATGATAAAGCACCTATTCAAAGTTCATATTTGGGTAGCAATTAGTGCTAATAAAAAAATTAGCATTCATTTATTTACTGAAAATTTGGATCGTCATTTGTATTAAAAAATCTTAGATGACTATTTGTATAATAATACAGATATGTTATACAGACACAGCTGAATCTTCTAATAAGATAATAACCTAAAATACATTTCACACAATATTTAAAGAGACTTAAATAAACATCTTCTAAGACGAGTTCTTTCTTGGCCTTCATATAGCTCAGACTTAAACCCTATTGAAAATGTATAGGCTATATTAAAGAAAAAGGTAAAGAAAAAGATCAAGTATTTAGTAACAAAAAAAAATATTATTTGCGATGTATTTCTTAATATAATCTAATAGAATTAGGATAATCTTGATGATACCATATTACTTCAGTATATCAAGAGCATGTCAAGCCAGATTAAAGCATGTATCAATGCAGAAAGAGAACATACTAAATATTAATTAAATAATATAAAAGTTGTCATTAGTATCAGTCTTATAAATAATAAAAAAATTTATATATTAAAATAAAGTTTGTATATACTGTCAAAATATGTTTTTATTATTCTTTTCGCTAAGAACTATACTTTAGCCAAAATCTACAAAAAAAAGCTAAAAAAGAATATTAGCATACTTTTTTATAGGTAAATAATCAACTCACACTTCTCACATTATTAAAACTACCTTCTAAGAATTTTATAATTAAAATTTATAAAAGAAAAAAAAGAAAATGTATAGTAATAAGATATAGAGAATGCCTTTAAGATTTTTTATAGATAATGGTAAAAGAGATTTTATAGGAAAATTTAAATATATTATTTTAGAGATTGCAAATAAAAAAATTTTTTTTTTTTATAGTAATTAAATCAATCTTTTTATATAAATATCAAAAAAATCTAAGAAATAAAAAGAAAAAAAATACATATAATTTTTTTTTATACAAATTTAAAAAAAAATTTTTGATATTTAATTTTTGTTAAATAAATAAAAAAAAATAATTAAAAATTTAAATAATTATGAAAATAAAATTTAATTTCTTAATTATATATATTTTAGAAATAATATGATGAATAATTTATTTTCTCACAAAGTATTATTATTAATTATAGAAGGACTCTGAATAATACATATATAGGTAATAATAAAATTTGTTTAGCTATCATATAAAAAAATTTTTTAAATCATTTTATTATGCTTAACCAAAAAAAATTTTTTAATATAGTCATATTTTTAAATGCATAACCAAGTAGGGGTTTAACTAAACTCAGATATAAGTTTGCGTAGTAAAATCTCTAATTTAGTAATTTTAATTATTGTATAATTTTTAATTGTATAGTTTTTATTGGATTTTTTTTTCTTTTTATGTATTTAGTTCTTTGTTCTTTTACTCCTACATACATTTTATATCTTTATACCAAACCATCTTTATACATATATACACATTTTTCTAAATCTTAAATAGATATATACATTATAGTTAGCTGGAAATATTCAAAATAATAGTTACAAAAACATCCACACGTTGCTAAAGTTGTATGTGCTAAAAAAGTTATTTGCATATGTGGAATAGTAATAAAACTTAATAGAAAATATGATGAAGATTATATTAATTATCATGTAAATGGCCTAAGATGTAAAAGGAAAAGTGGATAATAAAGTATTTTATGTTTTTTTTGTAATATCAACAATAGATAAAGATGATGATATAGATAATAAAAATTCAGATGATGACTGGAATAATTGAAAAAGTGAAGTAGAAGATACAATGAATGACGATGATATTATTACAGTAGATGAAGCTGAAAATGAAATTAGTGAAAAAAATAATAATATTATAATTAATCCAATATATATTAATCAAATATCTAACAAAAGAAGGGGATGTTTAAGGCTCCATTCTGATTTAATTATAAAATATGTTAATAGAATATCAGCAAGTTATGGTAGGGCTCATTGTGTTAAAGTAATTACTAAAAAAATGTGCATTAAATCAGAAAATCTCAATGACGTATTGATAAAGAATATAAGTTTTTTTTAAAAAAAAATAATTAAAAATTCACTTATTTAATGAACATCTTTTCTATTTAAATAATAGGTATTGCTATACATACCAAAACATGCACTGGTTATTCTGAAAAAGAGATTAGTGATGAATACTTAGCATTAAAATATAATGATCTATTAGCAAATTGTCTTGCTATCTTAAAACCAACACCTCAGAATCTCAAATTTACGCTAAAATTTTATTTTGAAACTAATTTATTAAAAAAATATTTACAAAATCAAGATCTCCGTAAAATCTGATCTATTGTTAAAGATAACAATTATATAAATATATGAATTACATTAGTGGATAAAGCTATTTATAGCATATTTAATGAAAAACCTGTGTTTGAAGGACTTTGTGAAGTAATAGTTCAAGCTTCCATTCATAAAGAAAATAATAAAGGTAAGCAAAATATCAAATATAATGAGGAACTTATGAATTTTCTCATTATATTTAAAAGTTTTAACACTCGAGCTCTTGATATTTTTCATCAAAATTTAGAAGGGCATATAATTTAAAATATAGGGTATGACCTGTTTATTTATTATCTATAAAAGTGTGATTTATTTTTTTAAAAAAATTTTTTATCAAAAACAGTAAACTTTGAACTAATGATGAAGATACACTTACGAATTCCACCTTTTCATTCAAGAATATTGTCAAATTTAAAAGGCTAATTGATACATTAAATTATCAAAAACCAATAGCTGCTATATCTGATAATATTAAATTAAAATCTATTCTTCATTATCATTCTGGTTTAGGATGTATTATTGAGTTAATACTATCTATTGAAGAAACTAAAATTAATTCATATAAAGATATCTCAATAATTATTAATGATATCAAAATGAAAAAAGCCATTGCAAAAGTTATGTGTGCTTATATATTGCAGGTATTCAGTTATTCATTTAATATAATAATTATATCATTTATATGCAATATTTATTTCAATAATTAATTATTTAATAGGTATCATTACTAAAGATTCTACCAGTAGTTATTGTATTAATTGCTAATATTAGGTCTGATAACCAGTCAATTGTAATGAAGTTTCATCAAGAATTATTGACTCAAATAGTACTATGACTTAATCTTTTAATATTATCAATTAGTTCAGATGGCTATATTGTTGAATTTAAAGCTCAAACTGCAATTCAAAGATATCTAACAGATGAACAGCTAGTTTTTTAAGATAACAAATTTGGAATTAATTTTAGCTGCTCAGTTTTCCCTAATGTAGGTCCTGTTATTCATATATAAGATCTTAAATACATAAAGAAAACCAGTCGCAATGCTATAATGTCAGGTGTATGACTCCTTACTTTTGGAAATTCAACAGTATAGTTTGAGCAACTATTAAAGTTATCACATCTTTGACCATCAAAATGACGGTATTGCATACTGTATGTTTTGTTCAGAAAATTTACAAAATTGTTATAATATTATTAAAGAGAATATGCAAAGAATTTTTGTATACCTTTTTATCATAGGTTGGTAATAATTTATTATTATTATGTGTAATTATTTTTTTTTGCATTATTCAATTTATTAATATATTTTTGAAATTAAGAGAATTTATTAATAGTTACTTAAATCAAGAAATAACTCTATTGGAAAGAATTAAAATGTTAATAACAGCTTTTTTCTTTTTACAAATTTGAAAAAAGCATATAGCAAATATAAGTAAAAAATATCCTGATTTTATTTATTTAAACAAGAATTTTTTAGCAGATCAAAGTTCTGCAATTTTTATTTTCTCGTAAAATCCATGATATTATTAATAATATCACACTGAGAATATTATTCAAATTATCTATTTTTGCTATAGATGCACAGATCAGAGGCTTGTGAATACTTTTTTAGTATAACACGTCAAATTAATTCAGACTTTAATTATTTTGAATTATTACAATTAGTTCTAAAATTTTCTCAATATGCCAAAGTGTTAAGAGCAAAAATATTATATTAGAAAAGAATAAATCAGTGTATGAAGATAAATTTTTTAATTATATTTAAAATTAATTAAATTATTATTTTTTAAATGTACTTTTTATTTAGGTTATCATTTTGATTATAATGTGGGAGATATTAACTCAAGGAATTTAGCAACATTATATACTTGGTCATCAGATGTTAAAATTACTCTAACCATAGAGCATTCATACGAATTAGCATCTGAACTTGCTAATACACTTGATATGGATACTACTTAATGTGTAAATCCTTTAACATTACAGCCATATGTTTTGATAAAGAAACAAAATTCAAAGATATCAGCTGAAATTGAGCCAAATTCTAAAATTGATGAATTTTCTGAAATTGATAGAGAAATTTCTGATGTAATCAATCAAGTTTCTAAACATGCTAGCAGTAATAATATTTTTGATTTCTCAAATAGTAGAAATAATACTGATGATCATATTCATTAAAAACAGATTATTTCAATTTTAAATGTTACAAAAATATATAATAACGAGAAATAAACTCATGGTATACATAATTTATTAGTTTTATTACTATATTTAATAATGTTAAAAAATGCTAAATTAATACTATTTTAAAAAGATCCTATTGTTAAATATTTTCTTTCAACTAAAGAATTAGATTATTCAACTATGATTGCATTATGAAAATATCATGAAGCATATAATTCAAGGCTAATTAAAAGGAAATATCGTGTATATTATGAAATGTAAACAGATACTAGAATTATCAATCCAAATAAGGCTAATCAAATTGTTTCACATTTCACAAATAATAATGATCTAACAGTACATTATATAAAGTCACATGAAAAATGATAAAAAGAAAATTAAAAAACAATGATTACGAGTCTTGCGAATTTATAAAATTCTAAATTATCAAAGTAAAGACAAACTGTTTATAATTATAAATATAAAACTAATAATATGAGTAAGTCAGTATAGCAATATATTTTATTATTTATATGAATTTTTACTAATAATTTATTATTTAAAATGCAGTTATGCATATTATATATGCAAATGTTACTCAAGATTTTCCTTTATGGTAAGATAATTTTATTATTGTACTATATAGAAAAAAAATCTGTGTTATTAAAATAATAGTGATGTATTGTAAAGGCTATAGTAACCATTGTTATACCCAAGATGCAATTAATCAAATTGAAAATTTATCTTATGTTTCTTTACAAGTGTATTTACTGATTCATCTCAATATTTTTGCAAGCCAAATTTTGGAAGGCTATGTAATATTTACTCATCATTATCCTCAAAATATTTTATATTATATTAATGCAAATGAACTAATAATTAGTAATAGTTCATTAACTTTAATAGGAATAGCACGAAATACTTTTAATTAATAATATTAAAAATATAATTAATAATATTAAAAATATAATTAATAATATGATATAATATGTTAATAATAAAGAATTTAATACAATTAGTCTAATACAAAAAAATTTTATTAAATTAATGCTAATTAAATAGATATATCTATTAATTTATCATAAAATAAATTGCATAATGAAATGGAATTTTAAAAGTCATATAAGAAATTTGCTTATTAATCATAGTAAAAAATTTTGATTTCAGTGTGACCTCTATATATATTATTCAGAGTTTTATGAAATATATAATATAATATATCTTTTTTTAACATTTTTTACTAATGGATTTTCTAAAAGAAAAAACTCAAAAATATATTTAAAAAAAAACATTCTATTATTTAGATCTAATAAAATGATTCACTCTTCTTCTTTTTTTTTAAATAACACAATATAACTTTTTTCTAATTTTCTTATCGAAATTCTTTGCTAAGGTAATTATAAAATTAAGATTTATTCAACAATACCTTTAGAAGTATTTTTAATTAAATTTTAGAGAGATACTTTAAAATAAGAGTTTTTAATCAAAAAAGAGATATTTCTAATTAAAAAAAGAAAATTTCTAATAAAAAAAGATTACTAAAGAAATATTAGAAATAAGTATTTTATTAAGTTAATTTATTAAATTACGAAGTATTTTTTTTATATTAATTAATTTTTAATTAATTTAAAGGTTACAGATATTTTTAATAAAAGAAAATCTATTAAATACCAATTAGATTCAGATAAATCTAATAAATTTAGTAATAATTAGCAAGATTATAAAGTTGACTTTTTAATTTAATATATTGTAGATAATTTTGATAAGTATAAGAAAGATAATAGATTAAAGTTATTTAATAAAATTTTAGCAAAGATATTGAAAAATAAGAAATCCAATACTATTAAAAACAATTTGAAAAGAATGATTAAAACTTATAGTGAAATTAAAAATACAATGAAAAGTTTAATGTAGAGAGAAAAAATTAGGAATAGTATAAAAAATAAATAATATATTTAGTACTCATAAAAATATAGCTTCTTCTTTTATAGCAAATAAAAATACTATTGAAAATAAAAAATTGGTAATTAATGAATTTAAACTTTCTAAAAGATAAAAGAAAAATAATGTAGATTCTATTGCAATTACTATTGCTATTATGAGTGAAACTAAAAAAAATATGAGAAAAAAGAATTGAATTAAAAAAAGAAAAAATGAAAAAGAATTATATTATTAAAATAAATAAATTAGAGATAAAAAAGCAAAAATAGGAATTTAAAGAGAGAAATGAAAATAAAATTTGATTTAAAATTGAAAAAAATAGAATCTAAAAAAATTCAAATTAAATTTATTTTTTTTGTAATTAGACTATGCCAATTAATAATTATGTATAATAAAAATTTTTAATAAATATAAAGGTAGGAGAATGGAAAATCAAAAAAATAAATTTTTTAATTATATTATTAAATGTAAAAAATAATATGAAAAAATTATTATTTATTAATGTTTAGTTTATATTATTATAAAATTTATTAAAATGGAAAGGCAATTATTTACTTTATTATAAAAGATAATAAAATAATACAAGTATTATTTATTATCTTATAAAAAATATACTATTTGAAATTAAAATAAAAATTTTTGTAAAGGTTCAATAAGATTGTCTTTTTTGTCACAATAGAAATAAATTTATAAATGTTCAATCCTACATAAATAATATATCTGCTCAATTGATAAATAACAAATTAGATTTATTCTAACAAAAACCTTACTATATAAAAGATGATTATCTGAAACTATAGGTAAACTATATGTATATGCAAATATTTTCATAGTCATTTGCAATGCTTTTTTATCTAAATCATCTAGATTAAAAATATAACGTAATTTTAAACAAATTGTGTAAAGTGCAAAGTCACAAACTTTTGTAGTAACTAAAATCCTATTTGAGGTAAAATTTTAATATTTGTAATTATATTTTTTTGTTTAAAAGATCTTTTTAATAGTATTGCATTCATATAGTAAATTAAAGTTTTAATAATGATCAGAATCTAAATGATTTATAAATAAAATATTTTGATTTAATAAAATCAAGTAATAATAAAAATAAACTTACCACTTGAAATTTGTGGCATAATATTTACTTAGAGATAAAAGGTGATTAACTTTGACCAAAGTGTTCAAATTAATCTGTAAAGTAAAAAAAAAATACTGCTGTATTAATAAAGTTACAAAAACATATATTACTACACAAATATTAATTTAATCTTAATAAAATTTTATATGCAAATAGTATTGAATCTGCTAAATAATTTTTACTTAAAGATAAAAAATGATTGACTTTGACTAAAATGCTTAAATTTCCTTATAAAGTCAAAAAAGTGTAACTTATTTAGTAAAGTTACAAAAAAAATTATTTCTACTTGAATATTAATTCAAACTTAATAAGAAATTAGATGTAAATAATATTGAACTTGCTGACTAACTTTTATTTAGAGATAAAAGGCAATTGACTTTGACTAAAGTGATCAAATTAACCTATGAAGTTGTTAAAAAATAATTCTGTAATGTTAATAAAGTTATAAAAACATATATTACTACATAAATATTAATCCAATCTTGATAAAATTTTATATTTAAATAAAATTAAACCTGCTGAATAACTTTTACTTAGAAATAAAAGATGATTAACTTTGACCAAAGTGCTCAATTTTTATCATGAAATCTCTGTATTAATGTTTATAAAAAAAGATATTAAATATATATAAAATTAAAATCTACAAAAATAAATTTAATAAGAGTTCTTGCAAGTTCAAGTATTTAAGTTTAAAATAAGATTTTTTTTAAAAATTATGTTAAATAAAATAAAGTGTTAAAAAAAAAATATATAACAATTCAAAAAAAGATTGAAAAATTGATTTTCATTAATATTAATTGTACAATTATAATTAATCATCAAATTAAAAATTTCTATATTATTTTATATACAACCTAAATTTGCTAATTAATTATCATCCTATAATTAATTACATCTATAATAAATAATTACCACCTTATAATAAATTACTATCCTATAATTATTTATCATCTTATAATTAATTACCACCTTATAGTTATTTATCATCTTGTAATTAATTATGTAATTACTATATTTTTTAATAAAATGTGTAATTAATTACTATAATTATGAATTACGTTTTTATATAATTATATATAATTACCATGATATGTTTAATTATAATCATATATAATTTATTTTTTTATAAAATAATAAAAATGATAATAATTTTAATATTATCAGATTTTTTATAATTATTTATTAAATTTTTTATTTAATTTAATTATTAATTATATTAAAATTATTAAAACTATATTATTAATATTTTTATTTATAAAAATAAATTTTCAATAAACTTATTTATATAAAATTTAATTAAATATTGCTTTATTAGGTTATTTTAGAATTATCGTTATAATTTAAATATTTAAATAAATTTTTTATATAAATTTTTTTAATATATACTAACTTTATTCTTTTTTTTATTATTTTTTATCAAAATAATTTAATAACTATCCTTTAAACTGTAGAGTAGGCAAATTTGCTTGCGAACATAAAAAATAAATATTAATTTTTTAATAAAAAATAAAATATTAATATTAATAATATAATTATTATATAAAAAATATAGTTTAATAT